CTCTAGTGTCCGTGGCTTATGGCTTCCTCTTGTTTCGCGCCTGCTTTCTCTCGAGCTGGCTGTATCCTGGGTTGTATCGCCCAGCGCGCGATCTCTCTGCCTGGCAGCCGCACTCCTCCAGCGTGCCTGCTTTTCGGGTGGCTTGTGTCGGTTTCTTAGTTGCGAGGGCGTTAGTCTCGCTCTCTTGAGCGACTTCTAGCGTCATGCGCTGCGGACTCTTCCACGCCGCCTCGCGCGGACCGCCTCTGTTGCCTCTGTCTCTGGTGGTCTCCTGTCTCCCTAATGGCACTTTGTTAATCATATTCATCCCCGGTGTTTTCTACGAGAGTATGGCCTTTGTATTGGAAGGCAGTCTTTGTTTCTACGGTTGGTTAAGTAACTTTCTGCCGAGCGTACAGTAGGCTCTAAACCCACGCATTTGTTTCTGTTACCTGAGGGTCGTATTCGGTTCACGGCACATCACGCCTGGTTGCCCTTGTTCTTAGTGCATTACAACGGAGGACGTGCGGCCGCGTTCCTAGGAATCCACTTGCTCCTGCACGTATTGTAGCGAGTTTAGCTCTCTGCTTCGAGGCATCTTCAGGACCATTTCGCATCCCGTACCTTTCGTTCACCTGGCATTTGGCTTTTTCCTGCAAATTGTGGTCTTGCCGTCCTCCCAGCGCTCCGCCGGTCCTGAGCTGACAACAGAAAAAAGCATCCGATTCCAGAAATTCGGAGGCAAATGAACGGACGCCTGGTCCCAGGTCACGGTTTTCCCAGGTTGCGGAAGGCTTTTGCTGTCTGCACTCGAATGTAATCCGAACAGTTTTCTTTCCTTTTTTGTCTTTTCCTTTTCTTTCTTTTTTTTTTTTTTTTTTTTTTTTTTTTTTTTTTCTTTAACGGAGTTCCGCTCTGTCCCCCCAGGCTGGGTCATGGCGATCTCACTCACCTGAAACCCTCCGCTCCCCAGGGGTTCAACACCGCGCGAATTCTCCTACTGCCCAGCTCCGATAGCTGGCGAATTACAGCCCGCGCTAACTCCAGCCTGGGCTTAACTTTTTTGTGATTTTTTAGTAGATGAAGGGCTTTTCTCCCTTCACCATGTTGGCCAGGCTGGTCTCAAACTCCTGACCTCAGGTGATCCACCCACCTCAGCCTCCCAAAGTGCTGGGATTAGAGGCGTGAGCCAACCCGCCCTGAAGAATTTTAAAAGGCAAATTTGTACCCACATTTGAGAAGAAGGTGAAGCCGGATCAAAAAGTCCTCAAGAAAACTGGGTTCGCATACTCGCTTCGGCAGCTCCAGGGCTCTGGAAATACCTGGAAGCTGCTCCCTGCAGGCCACTCTGTATCAGGTTCTGTGCTTATGCCAGGGCATGAAGCCTCATCCAAAGACCTGCATTACAGCACAACTTTGAAAGTGAGAGAGTCAAACACTCACAGGACAAATACACCAAGGAGATGGAAGGGAAGAAATAAAGGAATCCAGGACCTGGAGGAGAGCTTTGTGCCTGTTGCTGCAGTCCTGGGTCATCAGAGAGAGCTGTAGAGGTACTCCAGTGATTGTGAGAGCACCGGAAGAACTAGGCATGGTGGGTTGCCAAGTGATCAGGAGCTGGAGGAGTTAAAGGCAGGGGAGCCAGGTAACCAGCAGCAAAGTAGTGCAGAGGGGGAGAGAGTTCTTTGATAGCAACGGGAACTTCCTGTGCAGAATCTGAGTAGGGGCTTGGCTTGTGGAGATGCCTCCTGAAAAACATCTGGGAAAGTATTAATATATATGGAGCAGCCTGGATTTCCATTTATTTGGATAAGCCAGCTTGAAATAGGAAGAAGTGATGAGCCTGGAATGTGGGAGGAAAGAGCTGCGTGGATAGATTCTAACTTCCTGTAATAGTGCTCCCAGTCTGACCTCTGTAGATCTTCAGTACTCAACCCTTCTTGCTTGGGCCCTCTGTATGTTGAAAACCAGTCTGTGCTGCATGTGTTGTTTCAATTTTCTGTGGTACTTTCAATATGTTTGAGAGGAAGTGAAAAGTTTGCCCTCTGACCTCATTTCCTTTTTGATCAGTGAACACTAACAGTTCTGGGAAAACTTGGTCAATTGGTTTTCCCGATTTGGCTGCTGAAGGCTGGTTTGCGTCGA